TCAACCGATGCCAATACAAACGCTTTCTTAGTACCCTTACAACAAACTTATGAAAATTGTGCATAGGTTCAATATAAAATTTATATTTAATTTGCAGCTGATCCGTTGGGTCAATTAACAGTTTGCTAGTTTGAGATTCATTCTTCATCTTTCATGGGCGAGGTTCGAATCCGCTCCTTGACAACTTGTTCAAAAAAAAAAACTTAAATTCAATTTAAAATTATTTTTCTCTAATTATAAAAATTATGCATATAAGATTTATATCTAAATTAAAATCAATTAATAATAAATAAAATAATTTTTCTTATATTTAATTCATAAATTTTTTTATTATACATTCGAGATTTTTTTACTAAACAAAACTTAATTAGATTATTGCTCCTTGAATAAAAAACAAGGTGTTGGTCCAAGGAACAAAACTAACCCATTTTTCAAAAATAAAATGGTTGTTAAAATGAAAGTGCGTAGTTTGTCTAAAGTGGAGTTATGATTTTTCTCTCGTGACGTGAGAACGGAAGGACTAAGGAGGAGCCGCTTTAATAGGTAGGGAATAGGTGTACCTCTTCTTCTCCAACATGCTGTGCCTTTTTGGAGGAAACCACGATACAGTCAACAAAAAGTATCTAACAAATCAAGGCGGAAAAAAATACAAAAGAATAAGAACAAATATTCTTACGTGACGTCTTACCCCAACCGAAGGATGTACATGTTTTTCTCGTTTGTGCTTTTATTTGATAGAAATGATTTTTTAATACAAAACTGTTAAAGAAAAACTACAATCTAAGTAATAAAATTGTTAAATTACATTTAATAAAACTCCACTTTATATTTATTCATTAATAATATCTTGATATAATTATAAAAGATCAGTGTTTGTCAATTAACATTGTAAAAAATTATAAGAAAATATTTTAAAACTATATCCTTTTATTAAATGTTTCATTAAAATATCATAAGAAAATATCAAAATAAACTCAACTTTAATTTAAAAATTAGTTTATTTAGTTTTTTCAGTAAAAATTTATTAAAACGAAAAAATTTTAAGCTTTTTTTTCCACTTAATTTTTTAAAAATCTTGTTGACAAATACTTTTTCTTAATTATAATATTTAAATTGCACTTTTCTTATATAATCCATACTAAAAAACACTAATCTCTTTATTTATTTATTCCCCTTTTTCTTCTGCACTGCCCTATGGTTCTGGATTTTGGGCTAGTCTTAAAATTGGAGGGCCAGAAACAAGTAAGCTGAGCAAGTTCAGACTCTGGGACCCAGCCCAACTTGTTGACCCACTTTTGATCTTCATTTGGGCCATGTACGTCTCGTTAGGGAAATAGGCAAGCAGTCATTGCATCATTCATGCTCTGCCTCTTTAAACTTGATTTCTTCCCAATTCCAATCCCACCCCGCACCCCGCTTCCTTTCGCTTGCAAAAACCCCACAGCTCATCCAAATCTCAGCTTTGTATCCCTAATAAAAAATACCTAAGAATTCTTCATCATCTTCCCAAACTGTCATCGCCTCTACTTCAAGGAGAAGAGAGATACTTGTTACCTACCTATTACGAACACAAATCTTACAATCAGTTCAATTCAATGTAAACAGCATCAGGAGATTCAGGACCAGAAGATGTCCTTAAAACAAGCATTCTATATCAAGGGAAGAAGCAGCTCAGTTGCAGGCCGCACATAACAAACACTAGAGACCCAAAAACATGTTTTAGTTTGGATACTTTAATTTGAATTAATTACTGTTAGAACATAAGCAATAGCAAAATTTTGATTCAAAAGTAATGACAAAATGCAGGTCCCCCACAAGGGCTGACCTCTATTGAGTTTTAGCATTTGAAAATGTAAATAAAGTAATGTTATAAGTGACGGAGAGGATGCAATATCTTGCCAACGAATCCACTTCATTGATATTCAAATGATGGCACTGGAGGAGCATCGAAGCTCTCCAAAACCTCTGTCTTACTTCCACTACTTGTTGTCTCTTGCTTCTTTTCACCACCGAAAAGGCCACCAGACTATGACGAAGAAGGAGATGATGCAGGAGGTGTTGATGGTGGTGTTGACAATACCGGGGCTTGACCTGGCAATTGTCCCACTGGAATTCTAGGCATACTGGCCACATTTAGTGTTGGCTCTTCCATCATGATCGGCATATTCTGTGGTGCACAAAGAAGCATATTCAACATGATGCCTGCTCCTTCAATCAAAGCAAGCAAAACACCACCAAAGATTGCTGATCTGGAAGCAGCACCAAATCCCTGACGCATTGAAAGAAAACCTCCAGTGGCAGCACATGCTATTATTGAGTTCCATGGATCCTCTTTTTGTTGCACATAGACCATCGTGCAATCAAATGTGGAAAAAAAAAAAAGGCCACCCCAAACAGCAAAACTACCACCAACTCGAGGGGCATTCATACAAACAGGCGAGCCCCACTAAGAGAGTTATATAGGCCTTTCAAAAAGAGGAATGCTGCACCTTCAACAGCACCCATACCAAATGCACCACCAATATCATCGAGAATACAGTCAGGGCAGGGCTCTCGAGATGTTTCTGGGGTCCCCATGAGTCACTAAGAATATGAATCTAAACCCTCAATATGTGAAATCTCCAACTCTAACACTTCCTAATTATAAAACCACGGTAGGATACTAAAAGGATAAATCCCACAATCGAAATATGAAATTGGTATAAAAAAAGGATAATGTTATAGAGCGATAAATTGCATTTTTTTTTTTTTACAAATATTAAAAACTAAGGGAAAAATGTTTATCAACCATACTTGAAAAAAATTAGGAGCAAAAATATCTAAAACTTAGTTTTGAGTGTTTTTCAGCCTAATTTTTTTGCAAGTTTCCCTAACAAACACTAATCTCTAAAACTAATATCAATCCGCACAACATCCCAAGACTTATTGGGCTCAAATTTCCCTAGCTATAGCTCGACTTGAAACTTAATCAACACCCTCCAACCTAAGATAATCATAATACCCAATTCATGCGTAATTAACAAAGGATTAAAATTTTAATGACAGTTAAAATCTCAAATGATCCAAGATAACAATCATATATAAATGATCCTAAGCTAAAACCCATGAAACCCACATGAAAAAAAACCAAACTTGTGAAGGAAGCCATCATGTTTTGCAGTTTCAAATAGTTTCCAAACCGCAGGAACCTAGAAAATCAAAGGAAAAAAAAGGAAAAGGGAAAGGAAAAGAAAACAGAAAGCAAAGTTCAGCAGGAAGAGTGAAAGGTTGATCCTTGCCTTACCTCAGCGTCGATCTGAAAATTGCCTTGTCTGTTCTGATTCGAGAGTGGTAGAGAGAAGGAATTTGGAATCGTAGAGAAAAATCGCGGGCTACTTAAACCCTAGTAGAATAAAGGGCAGGAATGAAGGAGGCTTGGAAGATTTTTCTGTCGGTCCCGAATTTTTCTTTTTGGATGCTGTCCATATGGGCTGGTTACTTTTGAGCCTTTTTTTCTGGGCCAACAATAGATTTTCGAGCCTTTTTTGGGCTTTGCTATCTATTCTTCTCTATCCAAGTTCCAGCTCATCTTCGTCTGTTAAGGGCAGGGCTATCTCCTTACTCTCGTTATCATCAATCTTTATCCTTATAATTAATAACACTTCCAATGTAGCTTTAATGGGCTTAGCTGACCGAAAACGACAATGGGAATAGAAGAAAAAGGATTTAGTTTGACTCCAACTAATTTGCATTTTTTGACAGGATTCTAAATGATTAAAGAAAGCATAGTTTCAAGTGGTTTCTTCGTGGCATAGTTTCAAGTGGTTTCTTCGTGGCATCGTTGACCTGTTGATGTAAGTGTTATTCAAACGCATAGTTCACTATACCTAAACTTTTTTTTCCTTTTTTATGTGTCATTGATAAGTTAATGGCTTTAAATTTTAATGTTATTGCAGATTGTTGGATTTGCACATGGGTTTTCCTTATGGCATCATTGACCTGTTGAGGTAAGTGTCAATTTTCTACCCATAATGTTAAAAAAAACTACATGTTACAGTGATTTATTCACATAATTCTTTTCAATAACTTCCAACTGAAAAGATATTACATTTATCTTTCGGGAGTTTTACAAATTCGCTTATAACTCTGGAATTTGTTTCCATTTTGACTTGTGTCTTTGTGGCTTTGTATTACCTTTCATACGTAAACTTGGGTATGCCTATCTCAACTCTTAGTTTTAGATTAAACTTTCATATATGTGTAACATTTTATATGAAAAAATAATATTTCATTATTATTGTCATTCAAAGGCATATCATTCTGTCTTTCCCTCTTTACTGTCATTTTCTCTTTCTATGCCTCTATTGTCAATGAATTATTGATTCAAAATGTTGAGAAAATTTATTTGATTTGATAGAATTCTATACATTAGTTTCAATATGTCCTTGGTTTGTAATTTTTTTCCCCATCTTTTCTTCTCAAGTATCCAATTCCACCTTATAATTTTATTGTTCATGGAGTTACCTCAGTGCTAGTGGATGTGCATAAATATAGGTTGGCTCCTAAATCTCTAAATAAGAAAGTGAATTGCAGGCCTTGGATGTTGTTATGAAATTGCTTGGGTAGAAACTATGATGAAGTTCAGAGTCAATTTAGTTGAGCATAATTTACCGGACTTCTTAGCTTCTAAAAGTTATCCGAAGAGAGCATTGGAATTTCTACAGGTATTTTCTGTCCCTTCTGGATCTCTCCTTTTGTACTTCTAAGGCCTCATTTCTCAAAAATATAGACACCAATTTCTCTTTGGTCAATTATAAGCATAAAATGGTCCATTGAGATAGCTCTTACCAGCTTCCCTATTTGAAAGTGGTCGGGTGCTGACCAGGCAACTGGAGGCTTTGGACCAGGTTTAATAGAACCTTTCCAACGAAAAAAAACTTTCTAAACAATAATTCTCAGCTTCTGGTGATGGTTTTAATTTTATTTAATTTAATACATGTGGACTAAACATGCAAGAATTTTTTCTTTTTTCAGGCTCTGCTTTTTCTCTACACAAGTAGAAGTCATCAAGTCCACCAATCCAAGATTTGTTAACATGGACACTTTTTTTCCCACCATAGTGACTCCTGTCATAAGTTCCCTCAGTCTTACCATGTCAATTTCTAGATCATATTCCTATTGTACTACCTCCATATTGACATTGGGAAACAAGTCACCCAGTGTTCAAACATAATCATAAGATCATTGTAGTTTTGACCATAGGCTCTGTATTTTTTTTTTTTTTCAATTACAAGGGACAAGAAGAAATGATAAGGAGGCTAAATTCCACATTGCAATGTTTGATTGTGAGGGATATTTAATCAAAATCCATCACGGGCAAATACCATAAGCAGATATAGTGAAGGTAGCCAACTTTTAGCTAGACAGTTCACTTGATGGTGGCTCTAGGATGTACTATTGTCTCACAATCTAAATTTTATTTGTATGGGGTTTTGTAACTTAAATCAAGTGATTGGTCCTAAGATAAAAACAAGAGTTAAAAATCAATTCGCTAGGAACCAAGATAGATCCCTCTGTTACAAAATATAATTTAAAAAAGAACATACATCATAGGGCTTTAAGCATTTTTTGGTCATCCTCTTTAGCACATGTTAGTTTGGTCTATTTTCTTCTATTTTTAGATTTGTTATTGTTTATTAAATGCCACTTATCCATGAGAGAATCTTTCAAGTTTAAATTCAGTTCAAAAAGGCTTTGCCAATCTAATAATATTTAGGTTTATGATAAAATTATTTTGCTAATATAGTTTTCAAATTTAAAAATTGATAATATATATAAGGTAATGGAAGTTGATTCATTTGAAGTTAGGAAGTCTTATACCCCAAACTAACCAAATGTCTTCCCACAAAGTTTTGTTATTAGTTTAGCTATGTAATTTTGGACAAGGCGTCATAAATATTCTTGGGAACAAATATATGTTGGGTTGGAAAGGAGCAAATGAAAATTGAGTTTCTCACACACATGAGGCATTTGTACATATCATTTTAATAAAATACAATGAACAAAAACTAAAACAACTTCATTCTTGATTTAAAAATTAAGGGATTTTAGTTTTTTCTCATGAGACTTTATTAAAATGACATAGATTCAAGTTTTTTTTTACTTAATTTTTTACAATATAAGCTAATACTCACTTTTCTCTTTAACATATTTGTATTATTCAATGAGTTGTAATTAAAAATAATGAATTTAATAGTCAACAAAAAACTATGTTAAACATCAAAGCATTCTTAAAAAGATTTTAAAAATTCATTGTCATTTTAAAATTTGATACTGAAGATTTTTATATGCGGGGCACCTTCCACTTGTTACTTATTATTTCGTTTCTTTTCTCCTTTTTATTTTTCTTTTATTTTTCTAAAAAAAAAAATTAAATTCTTGTTATATTGCAAAATATAAACTATTAAACAGAAAAGTGTATTCTTAATATCAAGAGTCTGTCCTATCTAATAATTAAAATTATATAATTTAGTATAATCTAAATTGCATAATACATTTTGTTTTGATATTTACTAGAGAGTAATTGTGCACTCGCACGGGAAGATACAATGAAATAACTTATATATTTTTATTTTTATAAATTTTTATTGTTTATAAGATATTATTTACTCTGAAAAATTGAATATAAACTAAAAACAAAATGTTAAATATTTATGTGTAGTTTTCTAATATATATTAATGTTTTCTAGTAACAAATTATGAAAAAAAAACTTTTCATATGTACTTATGCTTATTTTTTCGCATTACTTTAAAGCATCATTTATGTTTTCATACAAATGAGAGGATTTTTATAATTAATATAAAAAATAAAAAAAAGAAACAACTTATAATATGTTTGGATTGAGAGAAATGGAGGTGTAACGCCCCAAATTCCATATCGGTAGGGACTTATAAGTAAACCTGATATATAATTGTAAAAGCTAATCACTACTAATAACTTGAGTTTGAGTTTTTGAAGGCTCATAAACTTTGGCCTAAAAAATTGTTAGGCCAGTGGTACATTTCAACCTCGATGGTTTTAGGAGGGGAGGGAAAGCTTTTTTAACCAATCAAATTATAACATTTTTTAAAAATTGCAATCTGATTGGGTCATAAAATCTTTTCCTTCACTCAACTCAAACATACTATTAATTAAACATTTGAAATACCAATGATCTGTTGGTATGAGTAGAATGAGTTTGGTTCCCCTTAAGTAAAATCTCGAGTTTGAGTCTTCTGAATGAAAAAATAGGCACTTGGAGAGTTTTCCCTTTTATGGGGTTTTACGTGGCTCGATTTCAAATTAGTTGAGATTCAATGTGACTTTTGAATATTAGGAGATTAGTGCTGAAAAAAAAAATAGAAATAGAAATGAGGAATACAAATGTCTTGAAAAAGAAGAAGTTATTAGCTTTTTTTTTTTTTTCTTCTTCTTTTTGAGAAAAAATGGCAAAATTATATTAGTAGAACAAAAGAGAGTTAGGGTGGTTTGAGAAAGTGAAACCCTAGTACATAAGCAAGATAAATTGTAACCACAGGAGATGAATATTTATCAAAAACAACAAAAGTTAAAAAAAGTGATGTTCCCATCTCGAGGGTTAAAACCCCAATTTGGTCCCTTTACTTTGGCAAAAAGCCCCTTGTAGTCTCTCTACTTAAAAAAGCCATTTTCTGGTTCCTAAAGTTTGAAATCCAACCCCTTTTTAGTCCCTCTATTAAGTTTCGACGTTAGACAATGAAAATTTCAAAGGAGATGGACCAAAAAGGGGCTTTTTCCCAAAGCAAAGGGACCAAATTAGGGCTATTTTTAGCCCTTTTTTGGTCCCTTTACTTTGAAATTTTTGTCATCTAACGTGCTACATATGTACAACTTAACGGAAGGACTAAAAAGAAGCCGAATTTCAAACTTTAGGAACCAAAAAGGAGTTTTTTTAAGTAGGAGGACTTAAAAGAGGCTTTTTACTAAAGTAGAGGGACCCAATGGAGATTTAACCCATCTTGAAAAGTTGGTTAGTACACACATGGCTATCCTTATTGAAATGTTGTAGTGTTAAGCTAAAATAAAATTTCTCATGAGTTCTTTACAATTCAAAACGTTAGAGACATTGGCAAATAATAATTGAACAATATAAAAAGAGTCTGATTTAATGTTAATTTTAAAAAACCTTTTGGCAACAATAAAGTTGAAGGTTATCCTCTATATCTTAAAACTTAACACTTACTCTATTAGTAATGTCTATATTCTTGGCAAACCCCATAATCTAATTGTCATTATGATTTTTAATGATCTCTCCTCATGCCAACAGATTTAAGAAAGATAGCCCCCTCAGTATTAATGTTTAATAATAATAATAATAATAATAATAATAATAAAGAATGAAGGAAAAACCCCTCACCTCCCCTCATTTCCCTTCTAATTTTGTATTATCCAAATAGAGAAGCTTTTCTTCCTTTCCTCTCCCTCAAACCAAAAAAGGCATTAGTTAACTCTAAATGAACCGATAAAAGAAACAATAGCATTATTAGTATTCACAATAGTGATGATTTTGTTCCAAATTCTCAATGAGTGAGAACATTTAAATTGTTAGTATGAAGATGTTAGCAATGGTAGTAAAGCCCTAAACGATCAAAGAGTACTCCCCATCCCAATGGTATTTTTTGGAGGAAAAAAAATCTTCCCTCATCCCAAGTTACAATAATGTATAAAAATTTACTATCAAAGAGCACTCCACATTTCATTTTTTCTTTACAATATTAAATGGCAAATGTGTTTAGTTAAGCTAGACTTGAATTGCATAATGAATATTGGGTTTTGTCATTAAAATAAATGATAAATTAAGTAAATATATTGAAATTTGTTAAAGTATGGGTTGAACTCAATTTACAATAATTTTTTTAAAAAATTATTATATTTTTAAGGGTACATTAAATGGGTTCTCCATGGGAGGAAAGGAAAATTGCCACTTTTAAATAGTATATTTGGTTTGAAGGAAATGAATGAACGAATGAATGAGAGGGTTTTTTTTTTTTTTTTTAGGTAGGCCTCTCCTTGCACAATTGGAAGCAACCCTCTCTCATCTCTTAACTCATCTTACCTACATGTCATGTGATTCAAACTCTAAAGCTCTTACTACCACTAGAAAAAGATTTCCACTAACCTATTTAGGTCATTGGTAAAATGGATGCGTTTTATAACCAATCAAATTATAATATTTTCAAATATTACAATTTGATTGGTTAACAAATCCGTTACTCCCTTTCCTTCAAACCAAACACACCTTTAGGAGAGATTTTCAAATTCTAAAGCAAAAAAATCTTTTTGTGTAAAAGTTAAGTTTCTTAAATAATTGCAAATCTTCTTTGAACTAAAATAGTAATTTGGAATATTACTACCAAAATATTAAATATTAAGGAATGCATCTCTAAATTAGAACTAATTTAAAACTTATTGAAAATAATTAAAAATATACAAAATAAATCTAGAATATTAGATATGACACAAATAAGGAAAAAAAATTATTATAAGAGGAAACAAAAAATACTCTATCAAAAATCGAATATGATATTTATCAATATAACACAACTCATAAAATAGCATAAGAGTATAATATGAAATATGTGCTTTAGTTATGGATTCTAAAGTGCTGAAACATGTAAATTCCTAATAAGTAAATAAATAAATAAATATATATATCTAAAAATAAGAAGGAATGTAGAAGTAAAAAAGAACGTAGAAGTAAATACTTTTGAAAAAATTAAAGAAAATAAAATAAAATAAAAAACTTGAAAAAGAGAGTCAAATTAAAATGCTATCTAAAAATATTATGGTTTTAAATTTATCAAAAAAATATTAAATATTAAATCCTAGTCCAAATTTAAATCCTAAAACTCTAAATTATAAATTTTAAAAACTTCAACCTTTAAATTCTTATTATTGAACTCTAAAGTTTTAAACTCCGAAACTTTTAAAATTATAAAACTAAGTGCTAAATTCTAAAACTCTAAAGTTTAAATTTCTAATTTTACATGGTATATCTTAAATGTTGAAATATAAAATTATTCTTCCCAAAATCTAAAAAAATTTGGCTTAAAAATAATAAATGCTTAATTTAAAAAGTAGTATAATAAAAAAATCTAGTCATTTTTTTCATTATTTTAAATTAAATATTTTAGTGTACACTTTCCTTATATAATTTGCCCAAATAATCTATCTCTTTTAACAATTTTCGATTTAAAAAGATATTTAAATTAATAAAAAGTAATAGCAAATTTGCACTAAGGGTATTATAGTCAAGTGACATTAATTAACCTTTTGAAGTTGATTTTTTTTTTGTTGTTGTACTTTTGGACTTTAATAGTAAATGATCCCAATAAACAATAACATAAGAAATACTCCATCATAAACAAAGTTACTAAATAAGGAAAGTTTTGTCATATCTCAAAAAAATCATAAATTAAGAATTGTACAAAAATTTAGCACAGGATGTGATTTTCTTTCATCAATTTCTCCCTTAATATATAAATAGATATAAAGTAATTTTCTAATACTGCATGACCAAATAATTGAGCCAAACAAAAAAATACCAAATAAAAGTTGAAGAGCATCAAATCTAATACAATTAACTAGATAGAAGGTAGAATTAAAATGGAAATAAGTATAGTTTTATAAAATGGTATTAATAAAATTTGAATAATATAACATAAACGGGGTGGAGTTATTGTTATATCATAAATAGTTAATACCACATCATTTTAATATAATTGTCTATTATACCCAGATGTTACATTTTTCTCAAAATTTTATATATATTTTTTATTTTTTAATAAATTAAAAGGTATAATAGTCAATTAAAATAAAAATGTGTGGCATTAATAATTGAGCGCGTGGTAATAACACCACCCCATAAGAGGAAGAAAAGAGGACTTTTCTATGCTTGGCTTTGTTTGCTTCTAAGTTTAAGACTTTTTTGTTGATACTCTTGTTTTTTCATGCCCAACTCTCTCCACATGAGTAGCTCTGATATTGTTAAAAAAATAATAATAAAACTTCACACTTTCTTTAATTTTATAAATATCATATAATCACCATTCAAATTTATGAAATGGTATTAATAAAACTTGAAAGATCTAACATAAAAGGGGTGGAGTTATTGTCACATTCTAAATAGTTAATATCATATCATTTTAATATAATTATTTATATTATCATTATGTTACATTTTTTTTCTCAAAATTTTAGATTTTTTTGTTTCTTAATAAATTAAAGGGTATAATAATAATTAAAATAAAAAAGTATGGTATTAGTAATTGAGGGCGTGATAATAACATCATTTTGTAAGAGGTAGAAAAGAGGACCTTTTTACACTCAATTTTGTATGCATCTAAGTTCAGGACTTTTCTATTGATATTGTTGTTTTTTCATACCTAACTCTCTCCACATAGGCAGTTCTAATATTATTAACAAAATAAAGCTTCACCTTTCTTTAATTTTACAAATATCATATGATCACTATTCAAATTTAAATATTATTGTATTAATTATTATTAGTTATTAATTACTTTTAAAAAGGAAATGGAAACTTTGCAAGAAATGGCCAGAGAAAAAAAAAAAGAACGTTCCAAGTGTTCTTTGAAAAAAAAAAAAAGCAGCCAACAAAATGTATTGTACAATTTAAATATATAGTTGTAATATATTAATTGATGATAGAATAACTCATTAAATAGTATGATATTTTTGAATTTTTTGACTATAGTAATAATAATAATCACATTTTAAA